TGTTTATGCATTTCTTATTGGTAAATTAAAATAAGAATGACTGAGGAGTTGTTTTAATTAAAAAAATTCAAATAAAACATTTTATGAGCAGCAATAATTTTACTTTTTATTGGCTTATTAATTATTTTATTAAATGTTTTTAACTAAATTGCTTGTCTGATAATATGGTTATTATGGTCAATTATTTTTTAAAGAAAATCTATTACAAAAATCCACAGGCAGTCCAACATTTTTCTTGTATAACAAATCTCAGCATGTGAGTGTTATTTTGTAGAAGGACTGAAAGAAATATTAAGTGTATAAAAGTTGTTTTTCATATGTCTCTGGTTGTTTATCGAAGATGGCTTTCACAAAGAGCAGCCAAGAAGCACCCGTTTATTTTACATTTTGCAATGCTTTATGTGAAAAGACCTCTGGACTTGTTTTGAAAAACTCAACAGTAATTCTCGCAAGGTGTTTGTTTGTGAACGTTACTCGCAAGTAGAAGTGTCGATTGATTTTGTTACTGCTTTGTTTTCAAAGGTTAGCTCACTTCCAAAAATAAATACATGATAAGAAGTCACGGAAGGGAATAGTTTCTTATATTTACAATACTACCATTGTCAGGGTTTCTACATGCTAGCAGACTTTTTACACCTGAGGCTGGTCTATATTTTCATGTATTTTATACCTTGATCTTAAGAAAAGATAAAGATAACATTTTCTAAACCCCAACTGCTCCAGGGCCACCGTATAAATGGCTGACCCTGCACTCTGATCCCAAGCTTCTCTCCCTGTCTGTGTGTCTCACGCAGAGCAAGTTGGGGTACTGTATGTGAAAAGACAAATTCCTAATACAAGAAATTGTATATGGCCATTAAAGTGATCTGTGATCTCTTAAAAAACATATATATTTGGATTATTTAATTAAAAGAACGATCCAACCGAAAGATCCTTCTTTGAATAAGTATATGAACCCTTCAATTCAGAAACTGGTTGCACCTAGTTAAACATTAATGACTTCAGGCTTTTATGGATTTGGGTCCAGTCTTCTTCATATTCTTCTTCAGGTCAGTGACATTTGAGGGTTTTCTGCAGAGAGAGCTTGCTTCATACCCTGCCATAACACTTGAATGGGGTTTAGGTAGGGACTATGACTGTGCCAGATCAAAAACATGGAATTTCTTCTTCTTCAGCCGTTCTGTTGTTAATCGGTTTGTATGTTTCGGGTAATTGTCTTGCAGCATGACTCATTTTTGGTTCAGCTTCAGCCGACAAACAAGGGAGCAGCGAAGCAACATGACCCCAGGAGGTTAGCAAAAGCAGTTTAAATTAATTCACATTGCTGTGAGCTGAGAACTATAGGCTGTGAGTGGTCAGCATAAAAGGTGTAAGAGGTGTTCACACTGGTGATGAACAGGGACTGGCTACAAACTCCAAACTTCTAGAAATGGCTTTGGAACGAAATCCAAAATTTCTGATATGTTTCCACTAACCTGTATGGTGTAGACCAAACTCACCGAATTTGTGACTATTACACAGGACAGGGTTGCCCAAATATAGTCCTTGTTTACTGTTAACTAATTATTTAACCACCCTATTCTAATTACCCCCTTAATTCTAAACAGAGGTTCACTAACTATTTCACATGCAGTGATTCTTAGTTACTCATTCTTTGCTACTTACTACATCATTGTGTTTTAAAACATCATGGTAAGAAATTGTAATTCCCATAATTATATTCGCTATGTATCATATGAATGTTGTGCATGTTTAATATACAGTAAGTAGAAGTTTTTAAGTATCTTGGCACATTAGGTAACATACTGCTGTTTAAAAAAGTTTTTTAAGTGTGAAACTGATTCATGATCAAGGAAAAGGGATTTGAACTAAAATATTTGGCCTATGGTTCTTAGGAATTTGTGATAGCAAAGCAATGCAATGTTTCAGTTTTTCCATTTCAAAAGCTGACATTTTCCATGATTCCTGAATGTCAGCAACATTCTACCTAAATTGGTATGCTGACAAAATCGCAAGTAAAAACATTGCCTTCAAGAGACAGAATAACTTCCAAAATGAAAATGTAATTCTATTACATGAGCAGCATTGTAAGGAATGACAAGGAACAATCATTTTTTGCAATACTTTGGTGGTACCTGTGATGATCTGAAAAGGTCATTCTTCCAAGAAATCTGACAAGAAACACACAGTTGTCAATCTTCGAAATTAAAACAGCATATCAGCATCCAAAGTTAAAATTGTGATGCTGAAGCACAAAACCCCAGTGGACCACAAACGTACGACATGATGTGTAATACAATTTCTGGAAGGGGACACTGGATAGGTAGAAGTATGAAGTCTATATGGCGCAAAGGTAAGCACTCCATATATTCATGAAAGGTCTTGTGGTAGAAATTAATAAATCGTGTAGCGAACACATCCTGTTCTCAACTTTAAATAAGATGGGGGGGGTCATACAACCTCCATAGTTTCAACTGAATTTAAAAGCAACAAGCTAATAAGGCATTCGGTTTAATTTTAAGTCATTGAATTTTAAAAATACTTCATGGCAGCTCTAATTTTGCAGCATATTTACCCCCGTGCCTTTAAACCAAACATATCAAACAGACAAGAATTTGGCTACTTGACATATACTGACTCAAAATGCATTTGATTATTACTTTCAGAACAATTAATTGGGAAAAATTTCCATACATGCATATTCACAGTTTAAAGTCGTGTACTGTACATTTAATGAAGTCAATGCAGAAATCCAAAGTCCTCACTTTTTACAAGGTTAAGGTAAGCACTGGTTTAATGAGTCACAAAAAACATTGATAATTTTAGGATTCTTCTAAAGGACTTGGAAAAACTGCATTTGCTAACCTACCAGCTTTTGTCCTTAATAATATAGGAACTGTTGATAATCAATAATCTCCAATATTATGTGAGTAGAAAGATACAATAACATACTGTATATAGCAGACAGTAATTCAACTCTCTAGTGTGATAGTAAGATTAAAATTAAACTGAATTACGTTCAATCTAGTACTGAAAAAAACATTCAAGTGTCATTTTCAATTAAACACTGTCAGTTTATGTTTTGTTTGGCTGGTTATTTGGATTGTACAATTACTGACAGTTAAAAAGGATATGATAATTTCTTATGATGCATTTTTAGCATGAGAATGAAGCTTGGCTCCTTATTGCTAAACTATATTCAACATTGTCATGCATGAGAAAACCACAAAATATTCATTTATGTACTGTGCAATCATTCTGTTATGTGTGTAATTAAGGAAAAAAAATTCTGTATTTAAAATCAAAAGATCATAATTCCATCAGGAACAAGTAATAAGTTTATTCCACACTAAAAAAAGAGAGAAGAGGGAAAAAAAACGTTTCAGCTCTGGATTCTTCTTCGTGTGTGAGCTCCACAGCCGAAACTTTGCGTTTCCTTTCTTCTCTTTTCAACGTAGAATAAACCTTGTTCCTTTGCAGCCTACGCATGCTGACGCAGCTGCCCTCCTGAACCATTTCCTTAATTGGACTATTTTCCATTTTCCAAGTCCTATGCGATTCATTTTATTATGTTTTAAAATGTGTTATCCGAATTGTATTTACTAAATCCAGTCATAAATGTTCGCAGGAACCTGGAAGTTACTTGAAACAGAACAAACCCAATCCCTCTTCAGGCTATTGTTAGGCTGGCGGTGTAGCAAACAGCTAGACCCTAAACGGAGCGTTTAATTCCGATCCGAAAGCTAACTATCCGATTAGGGCAGAGCAGAAGGCTAAACTCCAAATTGTAGGCTGAGGTCGAGAATCTAAAGGAGAGAATAGCGCGGAACGAGTAAACTGATCTAGCAGCAAGCTGACAAATCAGAGACACTAATACCGAGCGTGGAAAAGTGAGACAAGAGGGTTTAAATAGCGGAGAGCTGAGACGCGATTGGAAAATGAGGTAATTGGTGAGGACAAGTGCGTAATGTGGCTGTAGCAGCTATTGGATGTACTGTATCTAAAAATATCAATAATTGTTTTATCCATGTCATGTTATATCCATGTTATAACCAAAATTATATGAAGTCTTATATAAGGTAAATGAAACATTCAATATTGGAAATGTTTCAAATAGTAAATTCTTGTAAGATATAAGTTATGATATAATTTAAGATTGCTTTTTGTTACTGTTTTTCAAATTGTTATACAAAGAAATCAGTTAACTATATAGCAGTCACACTGCATGTAAAATCAAGTTATACAGTATGTGTCTTTAGTATGTGGGTGTAAAAATTGTAAATACTCTTTCAGGATAAGTTTGAACTAAACTTTATGCTTCATACTAAACGTTTTTCATTTCAATTAAATGGAATGGAACATTTCTGTACTAAACTTTCAAACTTTCTTTGTACTATGAATCTAGATTCCTTGAGCTATGAAGCATAAACACAGAGACAGGATGTGCTTCAGACCAGACAATCTTGAAACAAAGCACCTGCAGTAAACAAGCAGTTTGAATGTTGTATGAAAAAATAATATTGTTGTTAAAACTTCTTTTATCTGTCTCATGATAAACTGTACTGTCCCCATTAACTGGGAAAACACTGCCCATCCCAGCCATCAGTATAAAGTAACCCTGTCTCCTATCCTGGAGCCTCTCCAATTGGCATTTTGGCATTTCAAAAAGCATTTGATAAACAATATTGACCCTTCTTACATGACTATGGGGCATATATTACAATATGCGCATTATCTAGAGAATGCCAGGGTTTAATGTGACTGAGTCACACGTGGGCAATGTGCTACACTAAAGCTCAGAATAACTGGTCATAGCCACCTCAAGGCATTCTGAAAGATAAAATCGAGGTCAAAACCAAAAGCATTTTATATTATAAGTTTTTTATTTTTCTTTTAATTATATTTATATGAGCAGATTCAATTATTTCTTCTTTTGGCCATTGACTTCTTAAATAATAATTGGTATTCTTGTATTCTTTAATACACACTAACAACGCAGGAATGGCGAATATTTTTCTTTTGTGCTTTAATGCGTCTTTTGAATTACAGAGTCCTTAACACAGTTTTCAATATAGATGTTTGAAAAAATCAGGCCATATGTAGGATATCCACACCTTCTGCCCACTGCCAATTTGTAACAAAATTTCTGTGTACAATTGACTAAGACATTTAATTTTTACATTTTGCATCACACATTTTTTGAGTTATTTTAACCTCCTTCCCAATTTCAAATCCCTACATGATCTCATTTTAATTAAAGTGGAACAGAACACATTTTTTCACACAAATTTGTTTAAATCGTTTGCCAAAAACATCATTACACATAAGCATTATAACTAGACTCTCATTATAATAATGTCGTCATTGAAACACAATTCAATAATAATCCAAAAATACTGCAAAGTCATAAAAGCAATATTACATAAGGGAACACAAATATCAAGTTAACAACTTCCTTCACAAATTGTTACCATATACAGACATATAACAATATTTGAATCTGCAAAGCAAGAAAGACAGAATGTTTCTTTACATGAAAAAAAAAATGTTGAACACAAGTCAAAATCAAATTATTTAAGTGGAATTGTAAAAAGTAACTGTCCATTATCAAGCTGAAAAGGGTTACCACACACAAAAAACCTAGGAAAAGTTTTTGGATACTATTGCTTTTTTCTAAAAAAGTAAATTTTAACATTTTTTTTGGGAGAAGATATTACAAAACACTTACAAAAATACTTCATGGCCCTGGGTGTGTGTTTGCTTTTGTAGATCTGTATGTTTTTTTTTTATCTGTTTGAATAGTGAAACAGGAAAAATACACATACGGTACTATAAAAATCTAATGGAAAATCTTTTGTAGGTTTCTTAGAAATAGTAAATGTGACATGATTCATTAATCCATGTATTTAAAATGTCATAAGAATGAGCTATTCACAGAGCTCAAAACATATAACCATAAATATGCTGATATACAATTCAAGAGTAGCATTAATTATAAAAAGCAGCACTTACTATCATAGCCTGTATCACATACACAGTTTATATGATTATGAAGCAAATTTGTGTTGTGTCAGATACTATCCTACTTAATCTAGCAATTCAACTGCAGAGTATACACTTGAAACACAATTCCTTCTTACAAACATACCTCTACACATGCATATAATGTACGTATGCATAAATACTTATAAAGCATTGTACAATATCCAGCAACTTCCTATTAGCCTTAACTTTGATGAAACATAGTTTTTACCACATGCATATGTTGATTGAACACACTACTACTATTATGCATTAAAATATTTTACACAATCAGTAAAAAAAATTCAAACATTTGTTTGATCTAGTTTTTGTTCAATTTTTAGAGTGGTAAACCCAACTAAAACCTCCTCTCCCCAAGCAAAAGAAATGAGCAATAATATGATTGCTTGAGTCTCACTTTTCTTGTTTAATTCACCATATTTTAAGTTCATGAAAGCATTATCATGAGTAAATTCGTGAGCCTACTAAATGTACACAACATGATGCTGCAGATAGAAATATTAGCATATTTAAATATTAAAATATGTGTTGTAGTAGGTGAAAACATTACCAAAGAATTGCAAATCAAGCAAGAAATTTGAGACATGGATGATGAGATTTTAATTTGTTTATTTTGAAGGGACAATTGGAACATTAACGGCACAATTAAGAAAATGTCACTCTTCCCAAAATATTCTAAAGATAAGACCGCTCTTAATTCGCCATAAGGAACATTTTTCTACATTTCAGGTCTGTAATTAATGGCAGTGTTGTGCAAGTAGTTTTTGGTATGTATTTAATTATTTTAACCTGTTATTTAGTTTTTAACCTGAACCAAAAAAAGACCAAATAATTCACACATTCTAAAAACACAGGTTTTAAATTTGAATAAAAATAATAATTAAAAGCAGAACAGTCAATACAAACACCTGAAATTTCAATAAAAAAATACCTTCACCCCAAATATATTTTCCAGCTCTAGAAAATTGGATGTCAGGCCTGCAATGGACTGAATGTAAACGCAAATGTTCCTTAGCTCTTCACCGTTGTTGTATGTTGGCTTGTAACAGTGACAGGCTATAATTTTTTCCTTAAATAAGAAAATAAATGCAATAGAAGATGCATTGTCTGAAGGCTAGCAATTGAAGCCCTGTGGCACTAGATGCTCATCAATAGATGAATTGCCTCTTGTGTTCTTTAACCTGAATTTCAGTGGTCTTCCATTGACACCACAGTTTGGCTGGAGCCCCTACCGGGACCAGCATTTACAGTCCATTCAATGGCATGAGACATGCTAAGCAATGGTTTCTTCCATCTAAATAACGGTGCAGCGATAGTTTGTATCCCCTATGGCAGTGGAGCCTCCATCGGTCTTGACCACGGTTTGCTTGGACGAGCTCTGGTGGCTGGTCGCGGACTGCTTCTTCCTGCACAGGCGCTCCTGATAGTTCTTTGCAAAGAGGAGCAGCATGATGGGGTTGATGCAGCTGTGGGCGTAGCTCAGGCAGATGCTGATGTGGTAGGCGTAGAGGAAGGAGATGGTGGGCGACGCGATGTTCAGGTTTATCACCTGGATGACGTGGTAGGGTGACCAGCACACGAGGAACACGGCGATGACCATGATCACCGTCTTGGTGGCCCGCTTGGCCCACAGGGACTGCTTCCTTCGCACCCTGCGAATGGACCGGAACACGTGGTAGAGGGTGAGCGAATAGAAGGTGCTGATGATGATGAGTGGGATGATGAAGCCCATGATCGACTGGTACAGAGTGTACCAGTATATGTCTTTGTGGCCTGAAGGGAGATCCAGAATGCACACCTCCACGTCTCTCATGCGCACAGTTCTGGAGTACAGCATGACCGGAACAGTGAGCAGGAAGCTGCCCATCCACACAAGAACATTGATAATTATTGTCCACTGGATGGTCCTTTTCTCCAGGGTGGGATGGACGATGGCTACATATCTGGAATACAATAAGTAAACAAACATTGAAGTTACAGCACCTAGAGACCCTGTCACACGAGCGTCTTATTAGTTTTCTCAAGGTTTGCGGCCTTTCTAGTTCTGACACTATAAAGAAACATGATTGAGTTATATTTACTTAGGTTTTATATTTACTTAGGTTATTATTGAAAGTAAAAAAGTTCTTTTAAGGTTGTGATCTGAAAACAGATTCCCATGCTTTGTAATCAGGCTGCTTTATGAGTAAGATGACTACATCCAGTGCAGACAACACAATCCTGCAGAGAAAAATATTTACATATTTCAATCTCATTAAAATGTGTGCCGCAGATAGTGAAAAAACTCATTTTGAAAGGCATATATACACATTCGTATATGAGAGAAATTTGAGAGTCACTGAAAAAAATGTAGATCCCTTCTAAATTAAAATTTTACTCCACGTCTCCCTGTAAGGTCGTTAAATGGAAAATGAAAGAAACATTAAGATTGTTATTCATGGACTTTTGGCTGATTGGTGTCTGAGTAAAAATGTGTTATATTTGTAATTGTTATCTTAATTTTTTGTAGTAAATTAGTTTTTTAAAGCAGTTTATTTTCTTTTAGTTTTCCTCAAGGATAACCACTTTCCTTTGAACTTCATGAAAATGAAGGTCAAATATTTAATTGTACTGTACATAGAGCCATGTATTATACATAGAGAGTTATTTAAGAGAAGACCCTGAAGGAGTTTTTTTATTGTAGGAACAATATTTACATGAAAGACTTTCCCTAAAAATCCCATGGATATCAGGTGACTGCCTTAAATTGTGTGAAGAAAAGCAGTTACTGTACAATGCAGCTGTGTTAACACAACAGATATGAGACGTTAAGGAGCACTAACATCTCGTATCTGTTGGTTTGATACTTTTTTAATCTTTTTTTTCCTCTAAACATGGTTTCAGTTTACAGTATGTGCAAATTACAATACTACAAATAAATACCATACTTTTCTGTTCCAGGATTAACTACAGATATTACAGTATAACCTTACTGGAGGAACTTAAACCTTTAAACATACTCTACCAACATACAGTACATATACAGTACGCTTTGATATCATCTCTATGTCTGTATCTAACCTTTTTAATAATAATAATAATAATAATAATAATAATAATAATAATAATAATAATAATAATAATAATAATAATAATAATAATAATCCCCCTCCTTGGGGATAAAGGGACTTGCATCCCTTTTGTATACAGTATAGTGTATACACCATTGCTATACTGAGGCATCATCAGGACCACCACAGCACATTTGATCATTTTCTAAGGTTTTGAATTCAGACTTATTAGCGCACAAAGAACAAAAACTCTGTTAATGACCATTTCCATCATACCATACAGCCTAGTAGAGTAATCTCTGCAGCATGACCTGTCAGCTCAGCATGTTGCCCATTCTTTGTGTGCGGCTTATTCAAATGTGCTCTTCAAACACAGGTGCTGCAGCATGTTGCAACAGGCTCAATGCTTTATAATGTAAAGGATGTCTGACTTCACCGCATACTGGTTTCAGTTCTTATGGCTTTCCCATTTACATTATAATAGGACTTCAATGCTACTATGAGCATATCGAATCATTTTAAGTGTTCGAACAATTATTTGTCAAAGGGTTGAATTTGTAATTGGTACAGTTTTCAGTTTAGTTTATGTGTTTTCTGATAATTCAGCATTTTACCTGCATTCCAGAGACACTCTTTGAATTATAACTACTTTCTGAACTCCACAGGCTTACAGGAGGATGATGGATTATTTTCCTAGGTGTTATCAAGTCCCTACCCATACTGGTGCCGCTTCTACAAGCGTTGAAATCTATTGATAAGTGCAAAGAGAAAGCTAGAGATAAAGAAAATTATTAGAAAGTCTACCACAAGAGGACAATGCTGTCTTTAGAGAATGGCATATTGCTTTTATGCAGCAAACTGTAAAGCCCCTTTTGAAAACAAAGTGGGCAAAGTGGCCAGCAGAAAATACAAATTATAAACTGTGGTGTGGACATGTAGTCAGTAGTGTTTCCCGTAATGTCAAAACATCTCTTTCTTGTGCCATTACAAAGGCACAAAGGTATGAGAACCAAACAATAAGGCTTAGTGCTGCTCCTCTAATCCTTACTGGAGCTGCCCAGAAAGAGTTATCAAATGAATGCAGTTTGTTACTTTTTAAATAATCCGATGATGCAGATCTTTTATGAGTATAAAAACATCATTGAAGATCATCAGGATGAAGCCTACATTTTTGGAGAGCTTCCACAACAGAAAGACTGAGGTCAATCATAACAGGATGTGCCCATAATGTAGCAGTGCATCCATTCATCTATTTATTTCTTGGATTGGGATTGGGATTGCAGCTACTGATAGTCTAATCCAGGGTAAAGGCACGCCAGTCCACTGCAGAGCACATCCACATACAGTATAAGCATATAGGAAGTCTAGATGCTCGACTAACCTCTTTACAAGGAGGGAGGAAACAACACGATTAGAGAAAACTTATGTGAGCATAAGAAGAATGTGCAAATACCACACAAAAGGTTCCACAGCCTTGAATGGATCCCAGAACCAAAGAGTTGTGAGGCTATAACACTAACCTGCACACAATCTTCTATCAGTCCAAGGGAATTAATATGGTTGCAAAGTGACTTTTTGTTCCACTCCAAACCCCAGCCCTAGCATCACTATAATTTGTCTGGAGGCAGTCTAATGGGCCGGGTGGGGGGAGATGCTGAAACATGACATGAATAATAGTTGCTGGTAGAAAAAGAGAAAATATTGTTTTTTCTAATAATGCTAATGTATATTGAATTTCATACTGAGTCATTAAACTTTTGGCCTTGAGGCAGTTTTTATATACATGCCTATACTCCTGTTATTCAAAAAGTCAAAAACCAGTTTAAGGCTTTTAGTCTGTGCCATAGCACTGTTACTTATGCCTAAATTGAAAAAATGTTTTGGTAAAGATGTAAAATACAATAGATACTATTTTTGAATGATATGGTACACATACTCTTCTTTCCAAATACCTAGACATTAAATTATTCTGAACATCATGTTTCCCAAACTTGAACTGCCATCTGTTGACTCAATTCTCAGAAAATGAGTCAAGCTTTTTTGTTCATTATTACCAGATCTCCAAATAGCATTTTTCCTTTAAGAAATTTCTACGACTTGTCATGTGATCTACATTTAAAGTTGCATGACATTGGGGTTGGATGGAATACAGTAATTCAATTATATGTGTTAACAGATGCACAGAACAGGATTATTCCAAAACTCTGAAGGGCATGTCAGGACAGTGCAATAGTCAAAGGAACAGAGACAGTCTCAGACAAACAGGGATGTCTGGTCACTCGAACTAGAAGTAATGTCAGTTGAGGACAGAACTACCACCTTGCCCACTGTCTTTTGGGACATTCACATCCATTAAAACAGTAGTGCCATTTAAAAAAAAAAAAAACCCTCAGCTGGCCTGAACAAATGAGTGTTAACAAATTACATTTATACCAGATATCATCATAACATGAGAAAACAAGGATTTTTCACAACAGTCTAAACATGTATACCCTATATTATATATCTATAAAAAGAAATAGAAAAGACTGATCCCAATGTTAAGCAAGTGATAAAATTACATCACTGCTTTTATAAAGAACCCAGGTTCTCCTGAGGGAACTACATATCAGTTCTGTTATACATCGATCCACAATGCATGCACAGTCTGACAGAAAAAAAATATCCACTGTAAAGACTAACATACTAGCATTTTAAAATTAATGAATTCCTCGGATTGTTTATGGTTTATTTTAGCACCTTAAAGATTCATACGTTACTTAAACCGAAAACTGAAGGGTGGCTTTTTGTACAAAATTCACTAATAAATGGAAATAGGGGCACCAGTTAAAAAAAGAGTTTGCATAAAATTCCAGAAATAAAAAATCTTCTAAATACATCTTTTAGAAGGAATCCGAGTATAAAGCCAATGATTTTGGTGTGCTGAAAACACTTTTCTGGAGTTGCATTAAATATTTCATCATCATCGAAATCCATAATGACATACTTATCCATAATGACATACCCAGCAATGCTGGGTGACACTTACACAGCTGGGGGGACTGGAGGTGAACTACCTCACTCATGGTACAACAGCAGTGTCTACAGCATGGACACGAACACACAGCCTGTTAGGTATTAGGCCAACAGCTAACCCATTTCACTACACTGCCCTCCGTACCTCCATAGTTATTAATAATTCTGATTGCCTACATTTCTGTAGTAACTTTTGATTCCAAAAGATCACAAAGTTCTTCACATATAAGAAGGAGACCCAATTCATCCAACTCCGATGTGCTGCACCCAGACGGGTCACAAATGGTAGATATTATGCTACAGCAGGCCCACTACACAGAAGATGAAGTGGAGAAATAAGAAACAACCTCATCCATTGAATTATAGGGGAACTCTGTTTGTACGTATCCCATATTATGCAGATCCAAGGTGGAATTTAACCAGGACACCAGAGTAAAGATCCCTACTTACAAACAGAGCCATGGAATCTTTAGGGACAAAGTAATCAGAATCCCAGTTTACATTTTGTTTCCCCAAAGGATGACACCTTCTCCCATATAGTACATTGTTCCCTGTCACCATACAGGAAAGTGGGGTTCAGAAGATCTACCAACACTGCATACAGCCGCAACCTGATTTACCTTAGAGGTCTCCCTTTCCAATAAGAGCTAGATCCAAACTAATTTCTAACATCTGATCATATCAGGCTTACCAGGATTTCAGCCCTGGTCCTGGAATACCCAAGTATTGACTGGTTTTCACTCCAACTGAGCTTTTAATTACTGAGCCTAGCTGATCTCTAGTTGCTGATTAAGACTTCAAGAAGCTGAATGAGGTTAGCAATTAGTAACAGCCCTGAAGCTCTTTCTGTGTTTCACACCTATCCTCGTTTAGGTTAA